ACATATTCCTTTAAAAAAAATTATTTACTCAAATATTAAGTTGAGTAATCTGGGATATTATTCATTTCTCATTATTTACTTTAATACTAAATAATTAATTTCAAATAAAATTATTCATTATTTACTTTTTGTTCATTTTAACTCTACTTTTAATTTAATAATGTAATTTATAAGAATATTAAGTTGAAAATTTTAAAATGAAAATGTATATATATAAAGTTTGCCTAGTGAGTGACAGGGTGAGTTATAGTTAGGGGGTGTCATTTGTGTCGAATTAAATGGTTACATATCAGGTTAAACAAGTGACAAAAAAAAAATGTATAAATTCATACACGACACGTTTAATAAACAGGTAAAAAATTTTAACACGAACACAAACTATTTGATAAATGGATAACACAACACGACTCATTTAAAAAAAATAAAAAAAATATTATTTTAATAAATTTTTATACTCCATTATTTTTTTCTTTCAACTGTGCTTTTTCTCAATTGAAAAAATTTCAGCCAACGACTCACGTAAAAATCACAGCACAAAAGTTGACTAGAATGAAAAGCCCACTGCCTTTCTTTATTGGCAAGTGAAGTTTCCCCACTCCACTCCTCGTTGGTGTGGGATTCAAAGTAAAGGGCCCAACTGATGGTTAGGAATGTCAATGGACTGAAAGTGGAGCGAAGGATATAGTCTTTATTTTCATACCCGTTTAAAAAACCTTCGTTCATCCTCGGTTTACCCCGCTAACGGGTATAATTTTCATCTTCATTCCCATTCGAAAATAAATTTATAATCTCCATTCTCGTCCCTGCTTCACCTGTACCCCGCCCAAGCCCAATTAGTTCTGTAAATGAGCCGATGGACAAAGTGGATCACAATTTGTTCTGTAAATGAGATGGGGAACTGGTAAATGAGTGGATCTCATCCTTGAATGTCCCCGGTAAATGACATAGATCAAGCAAAAAAATGAGAGCATAGAAGGCAAAAACAAAAAAGTCAAAGCATAGATTCCAATCGGCAATGCCAAGAAGTAAGAACATTCATCCAACATTGAAACTTAAATGCCCCAAACTGATAGACGAACTGGACACATATGAGATCATTATGATGATTCTTAACAATCATAAATAAAAAAAAACCCATAAATAATCATAAACTATTATTCTGATGATTTACAGATGTACAATCCCAAACTAATCATAAATAAAAAAAAAAACCCAAAATCAAGGAAACCCCGAGGGAGAGCTTGCTCATGTCTATGAAGTTTAGACCAAGGAAGTGTCAAATTGATGCAGCAAGACCACGAAATTAGATATGCAAAATCGATTCACCAGAAAACATTGGACTCAATTGCACCAATCGCGTGAGCTCATACACATATAGACGATACATTTATATACTTTGATATTGAAATTAAATCATGGAATAGTTTACCATAGTCAGAACGAGGTCGCTTGAGTAAGCTTGTTGAAGGTTGCAGAGACGATTGACCATTCCAATAGCCCTCCGCCATCTCTTCTGCAATCAAAAATCATATTTCTTTTCTCGTTTTTTGAGTCTTTACATGAATATGCTTGTGTATCCATTTCTTACGGGATAGAGACAGAGTGAGAGAGAGGTTATGGTGGTGGAAATCGTAATGGACGGGAGAGAGAGTGTGTGTTGCTGCTGGGCTCACTGAACTAGAGGCATGGTCCGTGGAGGCCTTTGCCTTTTGGTTTGGGTGGAGTCGCACGGATTTATACGGGTGTCCCCATATACGTCTATCGTCCAATACGTATAGTTCATCCTCGGTCCAAACGAGACGGGTTTAGACGAATTCCCGTTTTTTCCCAGTTCACTGCCATCCCTACTGATGGCCAACAGAAGTCTCCCCCTTCACGTGATGGCTTTACTGATGGCATAATTTTTTTAAAAAAATGTTTTCTTTATTTATTCATTATTTTATATATATAATTTATTACTATATTAAATTTATTTAAATGAGCAAACGAGTAATAAACAGGTTGACAAGTCTCTCTCGAACACGACCAATTTATTAAACGTGTCTGACGAGTCAATCCGTTTACCATCAAAATCAGTTAAGATCTCACCCAAACTCGTTTCATTCGTGTCGTATCAAATTTTGACATGACTAGTTGTAATACATAAAATCCTACCCGCCCCATCCAATAAATAGTCCAAGTAAGAACTTGGTCCTATTGTGCCTGTCCAAAAACAAATTTCACAAATTTATGTTCCGTTTGATATGATGAAAAAATAGAAGGATAAAAAGTTCGAGAGATAAATAAAACATCATATTTTGTAAGGAAAAAAAATAAGAATGATGAAAAAGTAGATGAATTAACTTTTCTTCCAACTCACAAAAATCAATCCCTCCAAAATCAGAAGAAAAATAGATGAAAAGTTAATTATTTGTGTTGAGATGTAACTTATTTGTCTATATATCTTTTTATATATACATATAATATGTATGCATTAATTTCATGTAAAAATACAATAATATATATATATATATATATATATTTGTATATATTTTTTTAAATTTTAAAAATAAATTTAAATAAAATAAAATAAAATTATATTAAAAAATATTTCTTCTATGTTATATGACACGACTTAAACTCGACACAAACTTGATTAATTCGAACATTAAAATAAACAGGTCAACTTGTAATTTGACACGACACAATTAGTTAAATGAGTTGAGTTATGTGTGACTAATGTTTGACACAAATCCGTAATTACTTAACATAAATTTGACACGACATGACTTAATTGTCACCACTACTCTTAACCAGAACAAAAAAAAAAAATTATTCATTTTTATTTTTCATCCATCCAACTAAATATAAAAGAAGAAAAATGTATCAGTCCTACTTTATTTTCTTGAAAGATAAAAAATATATCCCTTCTATTTTTCATTCTACCTGCTTTCCATCATTTCTATCAAATAGAGTATTAGTCCCGCTTGGCCAGCCCATGAACAACCCCGACTTGAAACCATGGTGTGTAAATTCTTATCAAATTACTCTTTTCATTTAAGCAAAATGATCGAATATCCATTTGCTAACTTGCTATTATAAAGGGAGAGGAAGGTGGCTTTATATAATATATTTATTTTTGTCTAAACTCAATCATCCATAACACATCAAACCACAATTTTCTATTAACTACTTTCAACTGCTTATATTATTTATTTCCTTTGCTTTTTCTCTAACCCTCATTTCTTTCTCTCGCTCATTCTCCTTCTATCTCATTTTTTAACAATTATATGTATGCAAATTATAGTGTTTAAGACTCATTAATTGTGTAAAAAATATTTAAATAAGTGTATAATGCATGATTAAAATGAATGACGATGATAAACTCAGATAACCAACCCAAAATAATTAAAACATAAGAATTGATTTGATTCGATTTAGTTAATTGCGTAAAAAATAACATCGAGATAAAAGAGAAATAAAATCAATCTTGGATTTTTTTTTTCAATGGTTAGGAATGTTTGGTTAATTTAGACACACCTTGACGAATCGATCCCTCTCCAATCTTGTCAAAGACAAGTCATCCATACTAGAATTAAGATATATTCATAAGAGATAAATTTTTTATAAGAAAATACTATGTATCCCAAATCTCCAACTCAAATCTCCATCTCAAATGGATGGAGACTATTGGATGAGTGAGTCCTATCAACTTTTTTAAATGAGATTCACTGATCTAACGGTCTCCCTTGATTTGAGATGAAAATTTGGGATACATAACATTACTCTTTCTCATAACCTAATTTCAAAAAATTTCTAAAATTTAAACTCAGAACAATTAAATTTATATAATGTATTTATTACCATTGAAATTTCCTTAGATTTATATTTATCATATTCACACTTTAGAATTGGGCAACTAGGCATTCAAAAACTTCTCTCTTTGTAAGTAGCCTCAAAAACAATTAAATCTGATCCCATCTTTTTAAGTCAAACATCAATAAAGACTTCACCGGAAAGCAATTGCTTTGCTCGCCATAGAAGCCAAGAATCTCCGGTCACAGTCTATTTATTTCTTTTTAATTATGCATCCCCCAATTACCAAAACCACCCTGGGCTTGCCTACAAATTACAGAACTCACGCCCACAACCCAACATCTTTTCTAAGTGGCAAAATAGTCATTCCAACAAAAGTCCCTCACCGGTGAACCAGTGACACCATAAGGGTGTCAAAATATGAAAATGTTGTGGTTATGAAGTTTTTCACGACGTGACGCAATTTTTATTATTAAATATTAATGAGATTTATTTATTGGATGTTAAAAATTGTGTCATATTATTTAGAATAAAAAAATTGATAAAAATTTTAGTCAGTATAATATTATTGTTCAAAATAGGACACGATCCGGTAATACAAAATAAATATGATACGAGATTATAAGGTTTAAGTCGTCTTTAAATTACTTATTTTATAAATGAGTGAACTCCGTATAATATGATTAGTAAATAAAATTAGTAAATAAATTGGGTATAATAAAATTAATTTAAAAAAACTATATAATATGAATCCGATATGACACGATTTATAAGCTACAAATTGAGTATGAATAAAATATTATTTTGACATGGCTCCACTAAAACACGTCAAGAAACGGCCCCGTTTTACTTGCCCCTTTGCCGGCGCAATGTCGCCTTCTTTTGTTCCACTGGTATTAAATTAGGTTTTGAAATAATAATTTCAATTCGATTACAGTTGTATAGCGTATCTCCATATGTAGATACGAACTTATGTATATATAGTTCTATTTCTGATAAATCAGTTGAAGTTAATTCAAAGAAATTGCTCGATCAATCTCGAGCTTATAAATAAAAACACATAAATTCTCTTTCTTTTGTATTTTTTGATCTCTATATATATGCGTGCATATAGTGTAGGATCGAACTGAAACCCTAATTTATTGATTTTAGGAAGAAATCGATCATTTGCATCTGATCGAGAAAGAAAGAGAGAGAGAGAATCAATGGCAGATCAAGAGGAGGACGATATGCAGATGGCGTTGAAGATGAGTATGCAGCACGAGCCACCGGAGCCGAAGAGGAGCAAACCGAGGGACAACGCTGCCGGACCTCAGGCGGAGGAGTCGCCGGAGGTGAAGAACCGGAGGTTTGCAGCGGGAATTGATGGCTGCGGCAGCGGAGAAGCGGATGATGGCGGCGAAGAACGCTGCCACCGCGGTAGTCTCGGTTTCAAAGGTTGGGAAGAGTGTAAAGGAAGAAGAGGGTGGAGTGCTTCTGGGGCGGAATGTAAAAAAAGGAAATGAATTTGGGGAAGGAGCTTTCACCGGCGGAGGCAAATGAGTTGTTTTCCATGGTTTTCGGTGGTGAAGTTACAAAGGACGTACTTGCCCAATGGAGCAATCAGGGAATTAGGTATGATAAAGTTTAGGTTTTTGTAAGTCCATTACAGCATTGCTTTTATTCTTTTTGGGGTCTCTATCAGGTGTTTTAAAGAAAAGCTTATTGTGCTGACATACTTGCGGATTTACAGAATTAGTGGATAACTAGTCTGAATCCAGGAAATATTACTGTTTACCAGTGTTAAAATGCAAAACGATTGATCATGGTCTCTTGCTC